TATATATATATATATATACGCCTATGATTGTAGATTATTTATTTATTGTTCATTAGGTTTTCCAATTTATGAGAACTGCTCGAAGTAACCAGTTTCTGAAATAACGTGAGGAAGTAAACAATGGATTTTAATTGCATGGAACTTTAACTTTAATAAGAGGTGTCTCCATTGCTGGGTTTTCCCCAGCACAACCTATGTCTAATTAGTTGGAAGCAATTAAAGAGCTAGCAATGGTCCAATATCCCAGCATTAATTCGGGTAACTTATTTCAGATTTCATTTTGTTACGGCCTATCCTAACCATCTGAAAGTGGAGAAATTGAACTATTACGCCATAAAGATTGCAATGAATTAGCATGGTGGTTCCACCCAACACAACCATCAAAACCCGCAATAGCTCCATAAAAAACTACACCCATTTATCCCAATTTGGATTACTATGTTTAATTGCTAGTTTTATGAAGTTTGGGTTGGCATACCTATCACCAGGTACCAACAAGAGTAATTGGTGAGTAACAAATGTCGAATTCACATCACACTACCCGTTTCGTTGATGTGGTTTTTAATTAGCTTAATTTTTTGAGGAGCATAATGGCTAAAGTCTCAGAAAACTGAGGGACAAAAAAATGCATGATAAAATTTTGATTCATTGATGGGTATAAAGTTACTAACACAATTCAATTCAATTGAAAAGCAATTAATGCCTCTAGGGAGTTGTAGGCTTTGTTTGATTATGAATAAGAAAGAGTAAAGAAAGAAATTGTGAAAGAGAAAGTATAGATAATAATACATTTCTATTTTATTTGATTGAAGAAAAATAAGAAAGAAAAGGGAAAAGAAATTTTAAATATCACTTTCAAGTTTCAGCTTCTTTTACTTTCATGCCTCAGATTAATTTCCCTGTATTATTAACTGGTTCTTGCTTTTGGTAGTCACTTTAATTTTATAATCCATTTGCTAAATGAAACAACTACTGGTACTGGCCCATTCACATGAGAGACTGGGATCTTCAAACATTGGCAAAAAAAGAAAAGGAACAAAAGAGATAGGGATCTTTAGGTTTTGTCTTATCCTACTGTTTATCTCGATCTAGTAAAGATCAATTTTGAAGAGATTTTAGAAATTAAAATTAATGTATTTTTCTAGATAAGTTTGGGTTACACTTTGCAATTTTACATTGCCATAATGTACCCTAATCCATTATTTATACAGGTTAAAAAATTGGCACTTTAATTTGCGGCTTCTGTATGCAATTTTTTTTAATTGAATATTGGGTTGGAGTTATACATTGAAAATCATGAGAGAGTGCACTGATATATTTTTCAATAAAACAATTACTTTAAATTCCTTAAGGCCAGTCAACATATTTTTTTATTAATTCAATGTTGAATATTTTGACATTTAGTCAACCATTACATAGACCAATTGATTTTAGATAAATTGAGCAATGATAATATAATCATATAAAAAAACATTTGTTAGTTTTTTTAAAAAATATATATATATATTATATATTAAATTAGTTTTATTTGATGAAATATTATTTTTCTTGGATAAAGCCATTTTTAATGAAGTATTTAATAGTTTTAATTTTTTAATAATATCAAATTAATAATAAATTTTAATTTAATGATTACATTAATAAATTTAAAACATAATTTATATATATAATAAAAAACATATTGAATGGGACATTCAAATCTAATCAAATAACTCTATTAAAGAGTAAACTTATATATCTTATATATATATATATATATAGATAGAGAGAGATTTGTTTATTTCAGGAGTAAGTTTAACTAAATTTATTCTATTCAATAACTTGTTTTTTATATCAAATTTCAACGATCTAATCAATAAATTTAAAGTTCTTAATACTTAGACCAAGTCTACAAATTTTTTAAAAATTTTAAAAATTATTTGATACTTCATTAATTCAAATTAATGAACTTTTTTTAAAATTACTTTGAAAAATTGCCCACCTAAAATTTATTAAAAATTATTATAGGTTGATAGATGTTTACACTTAGGAAAAGAAAAAAAAAAGAAAAAAATATGTAGGATTGATATATGATGTGATAAAAAGGGATGAAAAAAATATAAAATGATAATAAACTATTTATGATATTTAAATATATTTATACATTAGTGTTAAAAAAAGAAAATCTTAACCCCTTAAGATAAATTTCTAGCTCCGCCCCTATTACCATATATATAATAATTTGTTGTTAAATGACAAAGTAAAAAGAATTTATACCATTAATCCATTCTAAATGGTTTGAGCTTAAATGAATATATTTAATGTGATGTGAAAAGTTTATTTACATGTTATCGTATCAATTTTAAAATTGGTTGCCTAATGACCAATTTTAAAAGTGGGAAGTCATATCTAATTTTTGCACTAGTATCTTATATAATGATCTTGTTAGATTTAATTAGTACTAAAATGATAATAACTTATAAATAAAATAAAAAGATGAGAAAAGAAGAACAAAAATGATAATCAACAAAAAGATGATAAGTGAGAAAAAATTATATAGCAAAACTCTAAACATTAAAAGAGAACATTAACATTGTAAAAAAAAATAAAAAAAAAGATAGAAAGAATATAACTACTAAGAGAATTATTATTCTACTAATTAAGATAACTTAAAAGGAATTTTTTTCTCTAAGAAGAGAAAGAAGACAGAATATGAATTATTATTCCACTAAGATAACTTTAATGGAGAAATTATTTTTTCTCAAGTAGACAAAGAAGACATAAAATAAGAAGATAAAACTTTACAAGATAGCGATGAGATTGACCTGCAATACTTCCTTATATAGGAAAAGTTTGAAAGCCTAGAGTGAATTCTCGACTGCTCAAGGCTTCTACTCTTAATAATGTATTAATGTTGCTCTTTTGTCCTCTATAGGGGAAACCTACTATTATTTTAAGTATATGAATGAGCTGAGAAATAATAAATTGGAGAATTATATTCATACCTAACAAACTTGCTGTGTATCTTCCTTTTATACAGTTCTTTTGTGAGTAGTGTCATCCTTGTGCATCACTCGTTGATACACTTATTTAGTCTCCTACAATCTGAGGAGATTTATTATTTAATGTTTTTCCATCAATTGGTTTTCAATGTTTTAAGAATTGTTGATTTAGGGTGTTTGGTTGATTGTAGTTATTTTGAATAAATACATTGGGAGTCACTTCTTCGTGACTCATTTGTGAGAATTGACTGTCGAATAATATGGTAAAGCTAGTCTCCTTATAATGTACTTATAATGACCATTAAAATTACTGTTAAACTTAGTCTTTTTTCTCAATAATAAAATAAGTTTTTACCAACAATAATTAAAGGTCGGTGAATAATGAAATAAAAGTTAAAAAATTACTTTTAATAACCATTTAAATGGCTACAAATATTACCTCTAAACATATATTTGATTTTTACCAATCATAAAATAGAATTTTACTATCATTTATTATAATTATCGATAATATTTTTACCAATTTTTGATATGTTAGTCATAACTTAATTGCTGGTAAGTGTTTTGGTAGCTATTTATATTGCCATTAAAAATATAATAATCGCAGTTTAAAGTGGTTTTTTTTAGAGTACACATGTAAAAAATGAATGTAAAAAAATAATGGTGAAGAATCGGCATTCAATAAACATGGCTAGAAAATTCCTAATCTATAAATATATTGATTAAATATGTCATGTGTCTGATTTGTTGTGGAAATAATCCCCACAATATCCCACCAGACTATTTAATGACTATGAATATATTTCAACCGGAGCATGTTTTTGAGCTTTTCGTGCAAAGCAAGTGCTCTATTCCTGTAAGAAGAATAAAGCTTTTCCCCTAAAAATATACAAGATATTTTCACTAAAATAAAATAAAATTGTAAATAAAAATTAGTGACAAAGATTTGTTGAGGCTATTAGATTCGGAGGCAAAGAACAACTCTAACCAGTGACGTGTTTCGCGTGAGGAGAGTAAATTTTGGCCCTGCTTCTGTCTGAGCCTTTTTGTCGCATTACTCTAGCACCCCATTTCATAATAAATAACTAACCTAGATACATTTCAAATTTCGTACCACATTTTTTCTTTTCAAATTACATGCATAAAAAATTTATCTACACACTCTATAGATAAAATTTAATGTGACTAAAGCGTGCTGGCGTGGAAGGTGAATCTCTTTTGTCCGTTGAAACGGTTGTATAAATTTATTGAGTTGGCAATGGAGTCATAAATAGTAGAGTTTGCACATTTTATGAGGTTCTGTAAATGCTTCTGGTAGAATCTTAATTCCATTCCTTTTTAGTTTTCTATAATTATTCCTGTCAGTGTAGTTAAATTGCACAACGCAACCACACGCCCATTATATATCAGACCAAATTTTCCCACGGACTCAATGTATAGAAATAAATCAAGTTGGATATATATTTCACGGGTTTTACCGTGGGAGAATAAACTTGAATTATCAATAGAATTTGTGTCGGTAATTTTGGTATTATTAAGATGAACTTTTTCATAATGGGGGGGCAAGCTAGGTGCCAGCCAAAAAGAAGATTGATGTGGCTTTCTTATAGGCTTACCAACCAATTTAATGGGAGCTAAAGACTATGGCGAAGAAACTTGCTAATTGTCATGAATTCTTACAATGACTTATCAACTGTCATGAAGAAAATTGCAAGAACTTTAAACAACATTATTGTGTAACCTTTAATGAGTTCCCCATTTGCTTGACAAAACCTATATTATTTTCCACAAAAGAGTGGCTGTTAGTTTCTCCTTTTTTTCTTCTTATAAATTAGGAGATTTCGTGTCATGTGATGCTTGCATGTATAAAGAAAATTAAGGATACGGCTCCTTGCTTCACTTCAGATGAAAAAATATATTAATTATTGAAAAAAAAAAAAACTAAGTTCCATGTAAATTTATGATATGAGGTGATATGTCAATTATTATATATCTATTAAAAGGGAAGATTACAAAACAATAAATAGCACATAAGATATAATAAAAAATGAAGAAATAAATAGAGTATAATTGTAAGGTGGGTATATAAATTAGGATGTGAAAAAATTGGCTAGGTGCAATAACAGTTATAATTTATAACATGAACGTACTCACGAGTTTCCTCACTTGGTGCAGAGATACCAAACGTGCACCCACCCTGCCAACTCACCACGTACAACCCCAAAGTAATAGCGTACCAATCACCTATTCACGACCCTATTTAAGGCACTTAGATTGCAACCCTTTTGCAACAACTCAATCACAAAGCAACTTCTCTTTTCTTCACAGGCTCAAATCAGATATTGAGAGAGCACAACTTCAAAAAGAAAAAACACTTAAACATGTCTACTACACATTTTTCCCTTGTTACCATTTTCCTCCTCCTTTCACTAAATTGTCTTGGCACAAGCATGGGTGGAAGGGTCATTCCCCTAAGTGCTCCAAGCACAGTGATAGGGCCACTAGTTTCATCAGAAGTTGAAAACTACGTGAAGCCACAGATTGATCAAAAGCAGAAAGCGTTCCAAGGAAGAGAAGTGAAGGGTTGCTTGCCAAAAGGTTCTAGGCATAACTCCGCTCCAAGCAGATTTGTCAACTACAAGACACAAGGTTCTGGTGGCTGTTCTAGAATGTATCCAGGGAAACCTTGATGAAGCCCTTTAATTTGTTCAACATGGAACCATATTAAGCCTTGAGTTCCATTTTTGTATATGACTTTTCACTTTTCAAGGTCAAGAGTGGTTGAAAGATGAGAAAAAGAAAACCACTTACTTTGCTTATTATGATGGATATATTTGCTGCTTGCAATTTTGAACCATGTGCATGGGAATTAAGGTGAAGATGTACGTTTTAGTGACCTTTTTATCATGCTATGAATTATATATGTATGTATGTATAGCTAATGCGTGTAAGACATTAGCCAAACGTTTGGAGAAGGAAATTATTAATTAATTATTTATTTATTTCAAAATGCAAGGATGTAATACTGAGTATGTAATCTGCTAGAAATCGAAACCTTCTAATATATGAAACTCAATATCCGAAGGAGTATTCACTGGAAAATTGAAACCTGGTAGCCTCCAACAAAGGTGCTCATTGTTCAACTATAGCATGGTTTATGGATAGTTTTGTGATACATCTTTTATTTAAAGTTTTTTCCAAGATGCTACTATTTCCAGCTCACAGAAAATAATAAAACAATTTCTTTATGATTTTTGAATACCTTTTAGAAAACATAAATAAATATTATCGACTCTTAAATATATATTTATGATATTTTGATTTAGAAAGTACGGAAAAAGGGGGGCCTACATCCTGTACTCTCAATCAGTGTTTTAAAACCCGAAAGGACCCGGCCGGTCGGACCGGTTGGACCGGTTCACCGGTGGTCCAGCCGGTTCGAATCTTAAGTTGGATCGGTTATGCAGTTGACCCGTTTCAAACCGGATTGAACCGGACAATTTTCCGGTTCAACCGGTGAACCGGTGGGTCAAACCGGTTCAACCACTTTTTTTTTTTATAAAATTTTTTAAGGGACCATAAATCACAAAAGTAATAATAATAATTGAATCTCTTAATAGAAAAGTAAGAAGTCTTATTAAATATAACAATAACTACTTGTTCTAATATATTTGTTTGTAACATATACAACTTAAATAACTTTTATAGTATATTATTAATTTTAAATTATATATTTAATAATATAATATCTATGTAAATATTACATATATTATTTTGTGATATTAATTGCAAGCATATTATATATGTAAATATTATTTATATTTTTAATTTGTATTAATATACCGTTCAACATATAATTTTTTATGTATTTTTTTATAAAATAAAAATAAAAATAATTTTAAATAAGATAGAAAAATTAAAATTTAAAATAAGATATGAATTTATTAAAATTTATAAGTATAAAATATATTTAATATGAATTTTTTTAATATAAATAAATAAAAATCGAGTCATGCGGTTCAACTAGTGACCCACCAGTTCAACCTTTGACCCACTGACCCAGTACCTTAACCGGTTCGATGACCGGTTCGGTTTTTAAAACTATGCTCTCAATTATTTACCAAATGGGTAGTGATCCTCGTAAACCGCTGTTCACGATTTTAGGGTATAAACAATAAATATACTGGTGTTCCCCTTTATCTTTCATTTTATTTTTCACGTCATTAATTGTGAATATGAAGTAACACATCACATAAGATAAAAATGGATAAGATGAGCAACATATAAACTAAAAAATAGTAAGCCTAATTCTATAACGTTTTGAGTTAAATGTAGTGTTAAGTTGGCTTATAGTTCGTTTCCTTTTGATTGAGATTTTCGGGTTTTACTCTCCTCATAATCTTTATTTTCTGTCCTTTTTTGTCCACCTACTCACATCTGTCACTACGCTCACTACTCCGGTATAAGAGTGGAAGAAAGGTGAATCAAGTAAAGTGATAATGTAAAAGAGAAAGATAAAAAATAAAAAAATAAAAAAAAAAGAATATGAATAGTGTTAAATGTGTGAATTTAATATTGTTTGCCAAATTGTGTAGGCTGCTGCGAAATTTCCCCTATGGCTGGAGATGCAACAATTGGGCGTGCCCAAAACGTTGCGAAACCTGTGTCCCAGGCCCATCAAACTGCCTGCTGGCTTAGTTGTTTGTTGTGTCTGAGTCTGGTAAAATAGTGAATAAGATTTTTTTTCTATTCATAAGAATTATAATTATGACAATAAAATTAGAAATTAGAATTCTATGAATCTTTTTGTCCCTTCAAAAAGGCTAAAAAAAAGCTACAAAGTGAGTGACGTATGTATAATATTTAAATGAAAAAATATTTTTAGACACTCTTTAATGATTTAACTTTGGAGATAAAAATCAAGTAATTAATATATTAAATTCAAAATCAAATCATTTAGATAATATCCTGAATTTAATTCTGGACAAAAATAACCTTTGAACATGTAATTGGGAGGGGGGAGGGAGGGGGAAGGGGACGAGAGATATTAATGAGACATTTATAACTTGTGAATTGAGTGACCGGAGTACTTGAATTTCATGTGCTTTTTTAAGTCTGAATTTAACCTGTACATCCATTTTCATTGGGTTGAACTTTGTGTAATATTATGAAGAAAAAAAAAAAGAACCTACTTTCTTAAAAGTAAAAACAATTGACTGAGAAAAGCAACTCCAATATTGTACAAATTATGAAATTAATGTCAATTATTGAGAGATATCAATGGCTTCTTAACTCGTTCTCTGCATAGAAGAAACCTAGCAACTGCAAGCAACATCGAGATCGAACTTTATGCCGTCAATAACCCCCAAACCCTGTTGACCATTTGAGTGCAAACTGTACTTTATTTTTAACTACAAAAAATATCACTTTGTTTTCTTTTTCTGTTTTAAAACATTTGTGAATTTTTTGTCCATTTTGCATGATTTTTTTAAATTAATAAAGAAAATAAGATGATACTTGTCAATATATATATATATATATATATATATATATATA